TTCAGTTTCTTTATTTTTCTCATTTTTACCCTTTATCATTGCTAGTCTTTTCATTAAAAGTTTTTTTTTTGGTATCCTTAACATGTTCCGAATCACTTTTGTCCTTTTTTGCATCCGAATCCTCACTTGACACACTAGCATCTTCCTCTACTTTATTTTTAGAAAGGAATAAATTATGTTAATAATAATAAAAATAATAAAAATATTCATTACACTAATTACTCTAAGGCAGTTTATTTCAGGGACCCTCTTGATGCAAAAGCTAAAACGCTACAAAGTTTGTTTAGTCTTAACTTTATAGCGTACATGCTGAAACAAAAACCTATGGCAAGGGAAGCTACTTAGTAATAATATATATCAAGAGTTCTATCGTTTTAGCCTAAGTGTGAAAAGGACCTCATGTGTATTTTTTTCCCGCACAAATCATATAACTACTTTTTAGGATGGAAGACATTTAAAAAGTTACTTACCATAATTTAAGCGGTAGTTTGGGTCCATCATAGCTCTTTCCTCAGGTGGAATGTACACTTGATCGTGCCTGGGATCCGAAAAAGGTGATAAATGCGGGGGCAGCACGCAACCAATTAAATACTTTTCTACAGGCATTAGATCACGAGCGTTTACTGAATCGAAATTTTAATAAGTACAAGAAGTAGACAGTATTTATGTACGTCAAATTATTTTCATAAAACAATAAAATATTCAAGATAGTTGAACAACATACAAACCAGGTAAAAGTATCATGAAACACGCGTCCCTGCTAAAATTTCTCAGGTGAGATCTCAGATGATTTCTCATCTCAAAATCTCACCTGAGAAATAACATTTCATGTTTCGATTTTTTTACATTTTTAACATAGTAATTAAATACCGACAACTTTTGAAAAACTGGGACTTATAAAATTCTTGCAAATTCGGACTTAATTTTTTTTTGGAAGTTTCCAAAAAATTTTTAAGTCTAAATTGTTCAAAAGTTTTCGAAAATTGATGAAGGATGTTGAAAACGTTTAAAAATCTGTACATAAAATTTTATATTTCAGGTGAGATTTTGAGATGAGAAATCATCTCGTAAATCATCTGAGATCTCACTCAAAAAATTTTAGTAGGGTTTAAAATAAAGTCCCATTTGTATAAGGAGTTAGATAAATTAATTATGAACGTGCCTTACTCCTGTTCTTTCTACCCACCCCTCTTTAGTTTTTATTGTTGATGTAATAAATAATTAATAAACTTTATTAATGAATGATTATGTTAATAGAGTTATCAATAATATAGATGTTTATATTTATTTATTTGTTTTTAAAAGACTGTGTTAATCATACCAGAAATTTGTAATGTCATATTTTTATTTCAAAGTTTTGATATTACAATAAGCCACTTATTAAAATACATGTAAACTGAATTAAAAATACAGATTGCAACTTTAATGGCCAAGAGCGTTAGCGTCAGAGAGTGACTGTTTCAAACTCGGTATACAGTGAGCAAGAGGAAAAGAGAGAAAGAGCTAGTAAATATAGTCTCCAGATGTAGTGAGTAAGTGAGCCAGTGAAAGAGAGACAGCTAGCGTGTATAGTTTCTATGAATGGTTATTATGCGTGAAGAAACACTATTGGTCTCCTTGATTATTTCTTATTTTTACGGTTTTTTATTTTTCTGTTAGGTTCTTGCTTTAACCCATGATAAGGAAATTCATTTCAAAAAAAAATGCCAGTAAGCACTCC